AAGTTAACTTCATACTTTTTTTTGGATCAATTTATCATATAGCTCATTATTTATTTTTAATTTTTTTTTCTAAATTAATTTTTTTAAAATTCCCTTTTAATATTTCCCCAATAACATTTTCATCTTTTATTTATGTCTTCATCTTAAACACTGTTGTTGCCAGGTCCCAAGTCTTAGATGGAAAAACTGGAGGGTTGCGTTAGTTAGTCGACAGTTAGTGTAAAATTTGTGGAATAATCATGACATGAATCCTATAAAAAAATTGTGTTAATACTAGGATGTCCACTGGAAGCGACACGCTGTATGGCTTGAATACAGTGACAAGTGTGCAAGGGCCGCTGCATCGGTGCCCGGGTGTAGTGTTAAATAGGCTAGGGTTCTCACATCAAGGACGGATGTGGGCAAGAAAGCTTGTCCATGAAACTAAAATTATGATAGAAACTTGGAATATAGGCTCCCTTGCAAGAAAATTAATGGAATTAATAGATATTATGATTCATAGGAAGATAAATATTATATGCATTCATGAAACTAAATGGGTTGGAGAGAAGGCTAAGGACGTTGATAGTTTAGAATATAAAATATGGTATTCGAGTATGAGTCGTACTAGAAATGGTGTATGTGTGATTATAGATAAAAGTTTGTAGGATAATATTATAAAAATTAATAGAATTGGAGATAGAATTATAGTTTTAAAGATTATATATTGTTGATGCTAAGATTGTTACTATTATAAGTGTTTATGCTCCTCAAGTAGGTTTAAATATGGGTTCAAAATTAAAATTTTGTAATGACTTAGAAAAATTAATACAAAATATACATCTTGAAGAAAGAGTTTTTATTGGAGAAGATTTAAATGGACATGTTGATAGAGAGGTAGATGATTTTAAAGGCATTCATGGTGGCTATGGGTTTGGAATGACAAATGAAGTTGGTAAGACCATATTAGATTTTTTTTTAGTTTATGATTTCTTAATAGGTAATACTTTATTTAAGAAATGAACATCTTATCACTTATAAAAATGGATATAGTAAAATGCAGATTGGTTATTTTCTTATAAGAAAATTAGATTGTTTAGATTACAAAGATTGTAAAGGTATTATGAGTGAAAATTTATGTACTCAATATTAATTATTAGTTTTTGACTTTAAGATAAAGGGGAAGATAAAAAAATAAAGTAAAACAGTTTTCAAATATTAGATGGAGGCATTTAAAGAATATTAACAAAGTATTTTTGAGAGTAAGATCTTAGATTTTAAGATTTTGTCTATGCATGAGGATGCAAATGTTATGTGGAAAAAAGTTGCTAGTGATATTAAGAATATTATAAAAGATATGCTTGGAGTTTCAAAGGAAAAAACTCTTAATAATAAAAATAGTTGGTGGTGGAATCCAAATGTGCAAGAAAAAAAAAATTAAGAAGATTTATTAAAAAAATTAGTTTAGATGTAAAAATTCTGATAATTGGGGAAGCTATAAAGAGGCTTGTAAGGAATCTAAGAAAGCTATTTGCGATGCAAAGAACTTAGCATTTAATGATTTATATAATAGATTAGATACTAAGGACGGAGAAAGATATATGTATAAGCTAGTCAAACAAAGGGATAGTAGTAGTAATGATTTAGTTCAAGTGAAGTGTATTAAGGATGAATATAAAGAAGTACTTTTCTTAGAAGATGATATTCAACAAAGGTGGATGAAATATTTTGCTAAATTTTTTAATGAAGAATGTGAAAATACAATTTACTTTAGTGACTTTAGCACCCTAAATGAAAATAATTTTTTTTCTTTTATTGGCGTATTAGTAAAATCAAAATTAGAGAGGTTTTAAAGAAAATGAAGTGTGGAAAAGCTGTTGGACCTGATGATATTCCAATAGAGATGTGTAAATGCTTAGGAGATGTGGAAATGCTTGGCTTACTAAACGTTTTAATAATGTTTTGAAGACTAAAAAGATGTTAGATGACTGGAGAATGAGTGTGTTAATTCCTATTTTTAAGAATAAATGTGATGCATAGGAGTGTGCGAATTATAGAGGAATTAAGTTAATGTGTCATACTTTAAAACTATGGGAGTGAGTTATAGAGTGTAGGTTGCGGCGTTATACTAATGTTTCTTAAAATCAATATGGATTCATACCGGGTAGGTCTATTATAGAAACCATACATTTATTGAGAGGTTTGATGAAGAAATATAGAGAGAATAAGGAGATCTACATATAATATTCATTGATTCAGAGAAAGCATATGATAAAGTTCCAAGAGAAGTGCTATGGAGAATTCTTGAAAAGAAAGGAGTAAATAATGATTATATTCAAATCATTAAAGATATGTATGCAGGAGCTATTACTTGTGTTCAAACACAAGGTTGCTTGACCAAGTATTTTCCTATTTCGGTTGGATTACATCAAGGATCAGCCTTAAGTCCATACATTTTTGCTTTAGTTATGGATGTTCTCACTAGACATTTGCAAGAGGATGTACCTTGGTTTATGCTTTTTGCTGATGAAATTTTTCTTGTTGATAAGACTAGAGAGGGAGTTGAAGGTAAACTTGAATTATGGAGGTCAATCTTAGAGTCGAAAGGTTTTTGCTTGAGTAGATCTAAAATTGAATATATGGAGTGTAATTTTAGTAGCAATAGACCTAGTGAGAGGATTGTGACTTTGGGCGATCAAGTTATTAATAAGAGCACGTTTTTTATATCTTGGATCTATTGTTCACAGTGACGGTGGAATAGATAATGGATATTATCAGCAGAAGTCATGTTGGATGGTTGAAGTGGAGGAATACATCTGTCTTGTTGTGCGATAGAAAAGTACCCCCTCAAATTTAATGGAAAATTCTATAAGATGGTGGTGAGACCTGCAATGCGCAAATCGGCCTGGACGATGCCTCGATCGGCCTGGACGATGCCTACAGAAAAACACCTGGAACAAATCTGGGCAAATTCTGGAGCAAATCTCAACTGATCGTCCCTCCAGGACGATCCCAGATCGTCCTGGACGATCCTGGAGCAGATTTTGATATTACAGGATGAGTGACTTTACCCTTAGAGATAGGATACGAAATGTGCATATACGTGAAAAGGTTGGAGTAGCTCTAATGGATGATAAGATTAGAGAGAGTCACCTTAGATGGTTTGGTCACATTAAACGGAGGCCTTTCGACGACCCGATTAGAAAAGTTGAGATTTTAGATTTGACTTATGTTAAGAAAGGTAGAGGTAGAGCTAAAAAGTCTTGGTTAGAAAATATTAGAAATGATCTTTCTTTATTAGGTTTAAATGCAAATTTAACTTTTAACAGGACATAATTGCGAAAATGGATTCATGTAGCCGACCCCACGCAGTGGGATAAAGGCTTGATGTTTTTGTTGTTGTATTTATGTCTTCATCTTAGTTAAGATCTTATTTTCTTTATTTTTTAATGCATCTAATTTGATTAGACTCTAAATTTCTATACCTTGCCTAACATATTGGTTACGTACCTTAACCATAAAGGCATATATATATTTTTTTTTTATAAAGAGAGAGACGGGCCAAATCCCTTCCTTGATGAGGAATGCCTTGACTAGCTAAGCATGGTTGCCCTTTTGTTATTCTATTCTTTTTATATTTCTTCTTGAAACTTTTTGTGTTGCCATCTAAGTCACTTGCTTGTAACCTTTTTTGTGCCCGCTTTTATAGCTTCTTGTATTGCCTCATTAATCTACTTGATATTTGTGTTGCATAGTTTTGAATGTTCCCTTTGGTGTTAGTTTTTGTAATGTGTTTGGGATATAACTGGATTAATGTGTTTGCATTATCCCATTGTTTCTTAACATAATTAATGCAAATAATTTGCTAATTCAACGTAGCCATCTATTTATTATGGAGTAAAATCTCAAAATAGTCTCATGATTATTAATAAATGTCCAAATTAGTTCTAGACTTTTATAATAACCCAATATAGTCACTTGACTATTAGAAAATGTCCCAATTTGATTTATATGTTAAAAGTAACAGTTGAAATTAACCTCTAAGTTAAATATGTGGGCATTTTGGGTATAGGGTTTATGTAAGATTATATTATTATTTTTATATATTTTATCATTTGTCATATTAAAAATAAATACAAAAATCATAATAGAAATTAACCAACTAAATAACAAGAATGAATAATTAATAATTGTGGATAACTTTTATTATGATTTTTTTTTTAACTTTTTTAATATGATAAATGATAAAATATATAAAAATAATAATATAATCTCACACATACCCTAATATCCAAAATATCATATTTAACGATTAGGTTTAACTATAACTGTTTCTTTTGGCAATGAGATCAAATTGAGATATTTCTACTAGTCGTGGGACTATATTGGGTCATTATAAAAGTCAGATGCTAAATTGAGCATTTACTAATAGTGTGGGACTATTTTAAATTTTTACTCATTTATAATTTAACCTAAATTGTTTGAGTATCTTCTGGATCATTCTCATAACAATTGAGTTACGTTTTGGGATGTGACTAGGTGATATTCTAGCTAACCGTTTCTCATTTACCGTCGTAAGTTAGGTAGATCTTGGTGCATCTTTTTTTTGGAACTCCCAAGCACTAGCAAAAGTTGAACTGGGATTATTTTATGAATTCTTGACATAGATTTCGTAATCTTCTATCAACATAACATAATCTCCTTGCATATAATTACCTGGCTACATCCGTAAATCTATATATGGAGCTGAGATTTTAGTGGAACTAGATAAACTTCTTAAACAGTTATATAATTTGACTAATGTGGATAGGATTAGTAGATGATAGGGGATGCTTTTTTAAAGTTATATAATATGTGTGAACTGGCATTAGAGTATGATTATTCTGCTGAACTCATTTAAAAGAACAAAACGTTGGTTACATATGTAATTTAAAGCAACAGTAAAATATGTGAAGATTTCATTTTTACTGAGCCAGCACAACTTGCATTCTGTGAACATGCTTCAACATTCATCCGTGCAGGTCCGCGCCATTCTGTTGGATCCTTCCTGCTCTGGATCTGGAACCTCTGCTGAAAGATTAGATCATCTACTCCCATCATATTCAACAGGTTGAAGTCACTATCCATTTTCATGTTTCATCTTAGCAATTTCTATTTGTTTTTCACTTGCTTGTCTTTGTCGTGTGGCGTGCATGCTGTCATGCCTCTGTTTAGCTTATCAGCCTAGGTTTTCCACTATTTAGGATGAATTACAGGTTTACCTGGCATACATGACCATTGCTAGCACAATTTTATGTATTAGGATTGCGATCTCCTTAGATGCTGCCAATGCTTGATCTCATATTAAGGCTTCGTTTGGGACGGCTTTCTTACTGCTTCTTAAAGCAGCTTTCTAGTTTAAAAATAAAAAATTTTAAACTAGAAAGCTGCTTTAAGAAGCAATAAAAAAGCCGTCCCAAACAAAGCCTTAGTTGGCACGGATTTTGTGAACAGGGTTTGATCCATTAGATTGTTGGTTAAGGTTAATTTTTATTCCAAGTCTATCAGAACATGAAGCATATAATCACATCCAAGCGTAAAATTGTGATAAAAAAACTATTGATTGCACTTTCACGAGAATAAAAGTTTATGTTGTTCATTATCAAAGCAGTGGACTTAGTTATTGTTCGAAGCTTACACATGTGCATGTGATTATATTACATATTCGTCTACTTGTCTCCTTCTGGATTGTAAAATCACCCTTAATCATTTGAAGCTGTAATTGGCAAATTTATGGATATACACTTATTATTTATACTGCTATTAAAAAGGCCTTTGACACCACGTAAAAATCATTACCATTCATTCATTTTAGACCTTAAAAAATTTAATCATGTATTTATAACTAAAATAAATGAATTGGCCACAATTTTCTGTAAAGATAAGTAATGGCACGTATTTTTTTATTTTTCGTACAGAATCTCTGAATATTTCAGTTAACTAAGAATTTACTAGAACTTTAAGTTTAAAATAAAAGGAAACATTTACATTTTAAGATATGTTTAATTTGAATAATTTAGAATTATTTAATGCTCGATTTATAATTTTTAAATACCTTATTTCTTTGATAAGTTTAAAATTAAGAAAGTTTTGATGTTTTAAATAACTAATATAATTAATTTTTAATTTGTTTAATTTCAATGATTTAGACTGATGTCATATTTTATTTACAATTTCTGTAATTTAAGGCATGTTTTAAATTTTTAATAATAAAAAAATTTGTATTATATATATATATATATATATATATATATATATATCTTACTAGAATTCCTAAATTTTAAACAAAATAATATTTTTTTATAAATTAATAAAAATATATATAATTCTGTACGGAATTTTTTAATTTGCCATCTTGTAATGTTTCTGTTATACTAATAACGGTTGATTTGCAGCAATACATATGTTATTTTTATTGCTCAATATTCTAATTTAATATAAATGAGTTCTGTCATGCATAGAATCTCTTAGTGACCATCGATTTACTCATTTTTTAATATCATTCTAATAAATGTTTGTTGGTTTTAATAATTTGGATTTTTTTTGCTGTTTAATATCTCAATTTAATAAAAATGAACCCCTTTTCATTTCTAATGTAATTTAAGCGTTTCTTTTAAAACAATCCTTTCTAATGAATTAGTGTTCATTTTATATCAATCAAGATTCTCTATTTAATAAATATAATATATAATTTAACACAACATTCAACTTATAATAAGATTTAATATTTAAAATTAAAATATTGATCACATCCAGTTTGGGTACGGGAACTCTGCTAGTTATGGTTAAAAAAACGCTATCCTCTTATTATTTGTTTGCGCTGCCGAGACTGGCTATCTCTTGTTCTAATTTAAGTAATCTCACATCATGAATGATTGGTTTTAGTTGATTTAATTTCTTGACTAAATCGTTGCCTTTGAAATGAAATTCAGCTATATGGTTAGTTCAGAAGTTAATTTGAATTTGATGAATGCGAAAATTCTAGTACATTGACAAATATTGTTGATTAGCATGATAGTATTGGACATTCATTAAAATTATGGGAGAGTAATTGAGCATAGGTTACTATGTGATGCTAATGTTTTTTAAAATCAATTTGGATTCATGCTGGGTAGGTTACTATGGAAGCTATACATTTATTGAAAGGTTTGATGGAGAAGTATAGAGAGAATAATAATGATCTAGATATGATATTTCTTTATTTAGAGAAAGCATATTGGAAAGTTTTAAGAGAAGTGCACTAGAGAATTCTAGAAAAGAAAAGAGTTAATAATGCTTATATTTAAGTCATTAAAGATATGTATGTAGGAGATATTACTTGTGTTCAAACACAGTGGTTTGACCAAGTTTTTTTCTATTTCAGTTGGATTACATCAAGGATCAATTTTAAGTCCATATCTTTTTGCTTTAGTCATGGATGCTCTTACTGGAAATTTGCAAGAGGATGTATCCTAGTGTATGCTTTTTGCTAATGGTATTCTTTTTGTTGATAAGATTAGAGAGGGAGTTGAAGGAGAACTTGAATTATATAGGTCAATCTTAGAGTCTAAAGGTTTTCGTTTGAGTAGATCTAAAACCGAATACATGGAGTGTAATTTTAGTAGAAATAGATCTAGTGGGAGAATTTTTACTTTGGACGATCAAGTCATTAAAGAGAGTACACATTTTAGATATCTCGGGTCTATTGTTCAAAGTGATGGTGAAATAGAATAGTATATTATTAATAGAATTTTAGTTGGATGATTGAAGTGGAGGAATGGGTCAGGCTTATTGTGTGATAGAAAAGTACCTCCCAAACTTAAGAGAAAATTCGTTAAGATAGTGGTGAGACCTACAATGCTTTATGTCGTAGAATATTGGCTATTAAAAAATAAGCTTAAAATTAAGTTAACTGTTGCAGAGATGAGATATTCATGTGGATAAATATATTTACTTTTAGAGATAGAATGTGAAAGGAGTATGTACGTGAAAAGGTTGGAGTAGCCTCAGTGATAGATATGATTAGAGTGTGTCACTTTAGAGATTGTTTGGTCACATAAAATGTCGGCCTTCTGATGACCCGGTCAGAAGAGTAGGTGTATTAGGTTTGGTTTATGTTAAGAAAGGTAGATGTAGGCCTAAAAAGATTTTGTTATAAAGTGTTAAAAATGACCTTCTTTAATTAGATTTAAATGAGAATTGACTCTTGATAGGACACAATGGAGAAAAATGTTTCATGTACTCGACCGCACGTAATGGAATAAAAGCTCGATGTTGTGTTGTTGTTGTTGTAGTTGTTGTAGTATAATAGTATTAGACATGTAGTGATATGGACAAAAGGAATCTGATGTGAAACATATATTAGATGCATGAATTGTTTGGGATTAATAAGTATTGACAAGCTTACCAATTATAAAATTAACATTTCACAAGAGCTGGTTTTAAGACTTTCTTAGTTGGTGATTAGACAATACATGTGGTTACAAATAGAGTAGGAGAATACACTAAATACCTATTTGCAACTAACAGAATTCCCACAATTAACAACTAAAACAGTCACAATGAAATTCTTTCACTCACACTCTTTGAGAATTTCAGCGGGAGAAAACTTGACACAATATTAATGATGTTACTAAGAAGCAAGCACTTAAAGTTTTGTTCAAGGGTTACCCGGGAAAGAGGTGACAAGTGGACGGTGGGAGAGTTGCCACTAAACGGGAAGACATCACTGATCAATGGCGGTTGCAAGGGGGAAGAGAACCTGATCAACTTATTCCTCGATAGTATGGTCGTTCCCAAAGTCGATGTCGAAGAAAGGAGAATAAAACACATCCACTAGGCCTTGATCATAAAAAATGAATCCATGATTCAAATTGGGACCAGCCATTCATGGAGGAAGGGAAAAATGGATGGCTACTTGGAGGTAAATAAGTGTGTAGGAGTGGGCAATGGCTTTGGGAATTAATGGAGAGTAGAGTGGACAACAATAGGGGAGATTAATGGGGGTTGGGAAGGGGAGAAGGCAGCTATGGTATTGGGAAAGGCTTTAATTAAGTGGAGTTAATGAGGATTGAGAAGAGGAAAAGGTGGCAACTAGGGAATAGGAAAGACTTTAATTAAATGAAGTTAATGAGGGTTGGGAAGGGGAAAAGGCAGCAACTATGGGAATGAGAAAAGCTTTAATTAATTGGAGTTAATAATTGGGGAGGGGAAAAGGTGGAGGGAATACCAAGAGGCAAGGGGGAAGGTTGGCTGGCCAAGGGAAAGCAGCAAGGAGTTTGGCTGGCTGTTCGGAAGAGGGAGGCAGGCTCGGTTGGCTGTGGAGGGGAAGGAAAGGAGTCAGCCCTCTTTTTGAAGGGTGGGAAGGCTCGGTGGTTGCTTGGGAATGATTGGAATATTCGGTTGGCTGTTTTGAAGGTTGGAGTGCTTGGTGGGCTGTTTGGAAGGAGGATGGGGGTGAGAGAGGAGATAGGATAAAGCTAAGAACATTGCCACGACAATGGTTGTTGGGTGTTTCTTTGCCATACTCCTAGGAACTTCACTCTTCTCTCAAGAAGACTTAAACACACACATAACTCAGAAAAAATTGAAGTCTCATTCATCATAATCATCATATCCATAGAATAGCCCAGGGCCTCAATATATAGGCCTCAAAACAAGAAGACTCAAAAGACTAAAAAGCCCCTTAGGCTACAACACACAAATAATTCAACATAAGAGTAAAATGGGAAAGTCTCTCAACATAACATGAAATAAGAAAATGAAATACATGAAATAAATCATAAATAAAGGCTCCTGTGATAGACGTGCCAAGATTTCCTATTGATGTCCTCATCAGAATCTATTTAATCTTCTATTTTCTTCATTTCTTGAAACTTCAACTTCAAGCATTTAATACTCAGGAAAATTATGTGCTAATAAGTATTAATATGTGCTCACTGTTTGATGGTCATCCCTGCTTTTAAGGATTTCTCTTTCATTTGACACTGTCATCCTTGGATGTGATAGATCATCAAGATGAGGCTGCCGCCAATGGTCCCCGGGTGAGGAAGCTTGCAGCTTTTCAAAAGAAGGCTCTTGCTCATGCATTATCCTGTATGTTCCCAAAAGGCCCATGCTGAACTTTATTTCTATGAATCTTGTGGTTATTTTATAGATATTGCCTGGAAACTTGTTATTAATTTATTTCTTATTATTCTTTCTTTACCCATGCTGTACATGTCTTTATTTGTTTTTTTAACTTCGTAATTTTAAGAATATTATGCCAAAAGTATCTCTAGATTCCGCCATACTGGTGCAGAAAGGTGGGCAGCTGGAGTGCAACTTCTCCATGCTATTTCTTTATCCACCATTACGAGGCATCTTGTTTAAGATCTGTTTGAAATTTTCTTTTCACACCTACATATTTAAATTGGATAGGTGGAAGAAAATGATGAAAAAAAAAAAAAAAGAATTACAGAAAACCTTGTAACATGCCCTAAAGCTACTCTGGTACGCAACCTTAGTTTCTTGGTACAGTATCTAGGGGGAAAGAGTCATCAGGCATGCAACTAGTAGAGAATGATCAATAACTGCAGGAATCCTTTACTGAAAGAGAAACTTTAATTCTTAATTATGTGATCATGGCTATTATTTACATTAGTAGACCTTATTCCTAATAACAAAACTACCTGAAAATAAAGAAGCAATTTTTGAAATTACTTTAATGACAAAGTGACATTAATCCTAGTCGTTTATCATAACCGGACAAATAACATAAAAAAACTGAATAACTAACATACATACAAGAACCATAAGATTCAATGAGACAATGGCCAAGACATATCTAAACACAGACGTAAGCTTGATAGTTGAAGATGATCTAAATTGACCTGAGGGTCCAAATTGGCTATCAGACAAGCGAAAGAGTAGGATGAGGGGTAAGGAAGGAGATATGGGAATTTGAACGCTGCCTCGTGATGTGTGCATATGATTTGAAAATATTCAGATTTGATTATTTTACCCGCCTACGCAATCTTTGCACAAATTTTGAGATGTTGCACATCAAAATTTGAGATTGTCTCATTAAACTCATGTAAGCGTCAAAAATATCTTAATTTTTTATTTTTTGCACTCATGCTTTGCAATTTTTTAAATTTTTTATTTAACAATTGTCATTTGTCCGTTTAATGTTAAAGATGATTATGTTTTTATGATGCGGATATCACTGGAGCTTACTTCTCCCCTATAAATTTGGAGGGGAGATAGTCTATTTCTCACATCTCTTGGGTTCAATTGAGTTTATTGGTTTGAGTCTTTTAGAGCTTTTGATAGTAGTAGTTGAGCTTTATTCATGTTCTTCGTGAGCTTGCAAGTTTGCATGATTCCTATTAGTTATATATTTTTCATTTATTAGTATGTAATATTTTGTTCTCCTAGAGCTGCATTCATTACATTTTAAGTATTTAACTTTGTGTTTCTCATTTCATTTAGACGCATTTTGCTAGTTTTAAGTTCCTGGTGTGCACTTTTTAGCATGTGTTAAATCAACATTCTGATAGCCTCTCGATATATTCCTCGCTTAGGGAGAATCTATGGGGAGTTTGAGCTTGCCCACCTTGTCTAAAAAGGCTTATATGGTCGGTGTCATACAAAACCACATCCAAAATTCTTAAAATTTCATTGCGCTAAGAAAGGCACGTTATAGGATACTTACACGATAATTTGCATCAAGTAAATTTCTCGATCGCACTACAAAAGTTGCTAATGAGCTTTCTCTTGCCACGCTAAGAGAATAATGTATGGGACTTCAGTCACTGTGCTAAACGCATCGCAAATGGGGTTGGTTGACAAGCTTCCTCTTGTCACGCTAAGAAAAGCACGTACGAGGCTGCACTCGCTATGCCAAATGCATCGCCAACGGGTTCACCCGCGACATCGCAAATGTCATTGACGAGTTTTCTCCCTCTATGCTAAGAAAAATGTATACATGGCTCCACTCGCCGCACCAAATGCGTCGCCTATTGGTTTCATCCGGGATGTTGCTAATGAACTTTTTTCCACTATGCTAAGAAAAATGTGTATGGAGCTACACTCACCGTACCAAATATGTCGCCAATGGATTTTGTAGGTTTACTAATTGCATTGCAAATGTCATTGATGATTTTCCTTTAGTTATGTTAAAAAAGTGTGTACAAGACTCCTAAAAAAACTCATCACAAATGAGATTTTGAGGCTTTTTGGTTATTGTGTTTTATACCAACATGCACGAAGATGTTCACAGAGTCTTCGGCTACGGGATGAAGTAGCAACCAAGCGCAATACAATTTTTTGACCTTTTTTATTTTTTTAGAGAGATATTTAAGGTTCTCCCTCTTTTTAGAGAGAAAGAGAGGATGGTAGCGAGAGATTTGAATTTTCTCTTTGTTTAGAGAGAGGAGAGATTTAGCGAGAGAAATTTTTTTGGGAAGAGGTCTATGTTTAGAGAAAGGAGAGTTTAGAGAGAATCTCTCTTTTTTTTTTGAGAGAGAGAGAGAGTGGTTTCTCTCTTTGTTTAGAGATAGAAGGAGAGGGGAGAGAATAGAGAGCGAGGTGTGACAGGAAAAGGGAACGAGGAACAAAGAGGGAAGAAAGAGAAGTGAGGAGAGGGGGTAGAAGAGACAAGAAAGAAGAAGAAGAAGAAGAATAGAGAAGAGGAATAAGAAATAAGAGGGAGAGGAAGAGGAAACTTGCGGCGGCCAAAGCAGCGGTCGTGGGGTCGAGTAGATGAATAGGACAAGTGTATGGGCTGCAAGTGGGCGGTTGCACAAGTGAAAGGCGGCCACATCTGCCTGAGCGTTCAAGGAAGGCATTGCACGAGGGGTGCATGTGGTCATGGAGTTGATTGTGTTGGAGATGAGGGGAGCTATGTGCTGGTGGTCGGGCTTTCACATTGTGCTTGGTGTTGCGTGGTAGCAAGAGGGAGGAGAGGATCAGTTGGGGAGTTGCACGGGGAAGAGAGAGTTGACTGAGTATTGAGTTCTGAGGGAAAATATGTGGGAATTGTGGGGTTAAGTTAGGTTTTTAGTTAATTTTTTTTACATTTTTTTATAATAAAATAAAAATAATAATAAAAAAGACAAACTTGCCCCTTTGTTGCACCAATAAGATAGGGTACAAGTGTACCCTAAGATTCCAAATTTAATTTTTTTTTTAATTTTAAAATGATTTATTATTAGTATTGTTTAATAATTTAAATATTAAAAATATTTATTTTGAATTAGAACTTTAAATGTTTAATAAAATTTTTTAAAAGATATTCACTGGCGGATCCCCGGTCACGTGAGGGTGGGCAAATGCCCACCCTGAAAAAAAATTTTATTTAGCAAAGGGGCATTTTTGGGTTTTTACCCCTTAAAAAAACTCTTTTCCCTAAATTAATCAATCCTGTCACAGTTTTGCCCATCACGCGCAGTTCAGCTTGTTCGCATGACGGCAAGAGGTCTTCGAGACTTCGACTCTTCGCATTTGCAGTAGCGCCCCTCTCGTTCGCAGTCACAGCCCTCTCGTTCGCAAGTGTTGCCTTCCCGGCTTCGCAAGAGGTCGCCGCAGCCTACTCATTCGCTGCCACAGCCTTTGTCTTCGCGAATCTCATTGTTTCCCATCGCGAATCTCCCTGTTTCTAATTTTCCCGGTTCGCAGCCCCCTTCCGGCATTATTGAAAGTAAAAAAACCTCCTTACCAATCCACTTGCTCTATTTCTTGCTTGATGCTTTGATGCTTCTCTTTTTTTCCTTCTCTGCATATTGTTCTTGTTTCTCTTTTTTACTTATATGCATATTGAAAAAATTATGGTAGTTCTTGTAGTTGGAAGGATTTTGCATTCCGTAATGTACTTATATTCAATATTTGTTTTTTTGTATAGTTGAATAGTTGTAATGGTGTTGTTAATTGAGTGAAGGCTTTTATTTTTTCTCTGTTTTGGAGGAGAATCAATGAATCATGATATCAATTTTCTTGATATTTGATTGCGCTCGCTGTGTTGGCTTTTTAAAATGGCTTTGTAGTTTCTATTATATGTTCTAGCAGATTTTTGTGGTTTTTGGTGTTGCAAGTTATAAAATAATAACTTGGTTCTATAAATTGATTATCTGTGCTATCTTCTTGCTTTGATTATAGGTTTGTTGTTTATTATTTTTAGCCATTTTTGACGATGTCAACACAAATAGAAGATTTGAGATAAATCCTTTTGTAGTATCTTTTTTTGTATGAAATTTAGCTAAGTGCTGACATTAGAACGTTAATTGATATAGAATTCAGAAAATAATGTTGAATTTGCTTTGATCTGAATTGATGATAACATCATTTCTCTATTTATTTGTTTTATGGTTTGACCTTCAAATGTATATGTAAATCATTGTACAACATTGACATGATTAAAATTAAATATTTATGTAAAATCATTGTAGAGCATTACATTTCATTCTTTGAATTTTCAGTTAGGTTTTAGACAAATGGAACGATTCTTGAAATGAAAAGAATGTGTCGAGATTGATATTAATAATCTTCCTGCCGACCCTGGTCTTCGACCTTCAATATGGAGTTATGATGTGAATGATCATGATAAAGTTCGTAGAGCTTATTTGTTGAAGGGACTGTATCAACCAAAGAATCATCATTTCTCTCAAATAATGATAGGAAATATTGCTCGTAGATTTAACTCAAAATGGTTTGAAGAATATCCTGATTGGATAGAATATAGTATACAAAAAGATGTTTTTTTGTCCTTATTACTACTTGTTTAAGCCACAAGAGCAAGTTGATGGCGACACATTTGTTGGTGAGGTATTTAAGAACTTGAACAGAAAAGAGAAGCTATTGGGTTATGTTGGAGAACACAACAGTGCACACAACAAGGCAAGACAGAAATGCGAGGCTTTAATGAAGCTTCAAGAAAAGAGTATTCCCACGATGTGTCTATGAAAGAACAGTTAACTGCTTCAGTCAGATACATGGACAAGTTGGGCCAAGTAATTGAGAGGTTCATTAGTATTAGTCATGTATCTTCCACAAATGCAGTAGCTCTCAAGGCATCAGTTAAAGCTCTTCTTGCAAAATATTCATTAAGTATATATAGAATACGTGGTCAAGGTTACGATGGAGTATCTAATATGCAGGGTGAGTTTGGTGGTTTGAAAGCACTCATTATAAAAGATAATCCTCATGCATTTTATATTCATTGTTTTGCTCATCAACTCCAATTATGTTTGATGGCTGTTGCAAAAAATCATCGGGAAGTCAATCATTTATTTGAGACCACTTCAAGAATTGTTAATACTGTTGCAGCTTCATGCAAGAGAAATGATACTTTGAAAGCTATTTAGTGTAATGAAATAGTTTTTCATTTAAGCAGTGGAGACTTAATTAGTAGTTGAGGTATAAACCAAGAAACTAATTTGCATAGTGCTGGTGACACTTGTTGGAGTTCGCATTTTCAAATATTAATCAGTCTAACAAAAATGTATGCTTCTGTACTCAAAGTGCTTGAAATTGTCAATGAAGAGGGGATACATGATCAACAATCAGTTGAAGCTGGTGTTTTAATACATGTCATGAAATCTTTTGACTTTGTCATGGCACTGCATTTAATGATTGATATTTTAGGAATTACGAATGAGTTATCACAAACATTATAAATAAAGTGTCAAGTTATTATAAATGCAATGAAATTAGTACAAGTGTCCAAACAACGATTACAAATGCTGAGGGAAGATGGATGGGAGCCTTTACTTGAAGAGGTATCACGTTTTTGTAATGTTTTTGAAATTAAAGTTCCAAATATTGATTCAAAATTCAAGGCTCGTGGACGGTCAGTAGGAAAATGTGTAGGAATAACTAACTTTTATCATTATCGAGGTTATTTATTCCACACTGATGTTGATATGCAACTTTAGGAACTCAATAACCGATTTTTTGAAACTAGTACCGAGTTACTTCTTTGTGTGACATGTTTGAATCCGAGTAATATGTTCTCTGGTTATGATAAGAGAAAGTTAATTCGTCTTGCAGAGTTATATCTATCAGATTTCTCTATGGTTGATCTTGCGTCTCTTGAACATCAATTATCTATTTATATTATTGATATGCGTACTAGCGATTAGTTTACATCTTTGACTAGCATTGTTGCTCTTGCAAAACATATTGTAAATAAAAATATTGTATATCCCTTGGTTTATAAACTTATTATTCTAGCACTGACTTTACTAGTTGTTACTGTTATTGTTGAGAGAGTATTTTCTACAATGAAGATTATTAAGCATCGGCTGCATAGCAAAATGGGAGATGTCTGACTCAATGACAGTCTAGTGTCATATATTGAGAAAGAATTATTTGATTCTGTTTCAAATGAAGTTATCATGCAACATTATCAGAAAATGCAAAGTTTGCAATTTTTTTATTTCATAAATTATAATGAAATACAAGGTTGTACTTAGAATTTTGCTAATGAAATATATATAATTTTTAGTATTTACTTTTTTATATATTGAGTTTTGCCTACCCTAAAAAAAAGGTTGGATCCTCCCCTGAAGATATTTATTTGAAATGCGCAATTCGCTCGCTTAATTTTCTTCACGCACTCTTGTCAAATTTCATCCTAGTTTCACTAGTGGACTTTTTGATATTTTTTCACGTGTGGGAACTCGGGCAATATGGGTATCAATTTCTAGTATTTTCGATGCCCCGGATAAATTGGCTTGGTCCATTTCACCAAATTTCGCGGTCATAGTTTGTTGTTTACGTCTGCATTTGCTCGAATTGTAGCCAAGGTCATGCATGAGTAATTTTATTGTTTTGACCCGATGGCTTGATCGTTTCAAGAATGGAGGATGATTTTGTGCAACATCAAGGCATGTCGAACTTGTTTCGTGCACCGTTGCGTGGTTGACTATTATTCTCGTTGGACATGTTCAAATTGATTTTGAAGTCCATATTAGGGGTCCAAAACTATATTCACTCATTTCTTGGAATACTTCTTCCATCGCTCATTTCTTGGCTTCATTCTTAGCTAATACTAGTAAGCTTTTTAGATGTTCTATCGAAGTTTTGTATTAACAGTTTAACACTACCCAGTTAATTCAACTGTAAGAATTAGAATACCATAAATTGGCATCTGATTGCCTTCTGCAAACTTTACAGTTCCAGCAGTTGAAAGAGTTGTCTACAGCACATGTTCCATCCATCAAACCGAGAACGAAGATGTCGTCGAGTCTGTTCTTCCATTAGCCACCTCGCTCGGCTTCGAACTGGCAACCCCTTTCCCTCAGTGGCCTCTACGTGGCCGCCCCATCTTTGACGGCGGTAAGTCGCCGGTGCCATGGTTCTCTCATTGTTCCCTGGTTATTTTTATAAAAAAAACTGATCTTTTTTCATGTTTCTTCAGCTGAGCGTTTGCTGAGAACTGATCCATCCCAGGATACAGAAGGATTTTTCATTGCATTATTTGTCAAGAAGCTCAGATCTCTTCCTCCAGCCCAGAAGAAACATTTCAGTCCAGGAAGAAAATTGCCATTTTTTCCTACCAAGATTTCAAAGATTTGGATGCGTCACTGCATGGCAAGGAGAAGAAGACGCAACTCATAAGAAAATTCCAACAGTTAAAAGCATTGTTGGTATGGCAGAGCTTGTGATTTGTTGTAGCAACTTTGGTTTAGTTTGGGCGATTTTTTTATTGCTTCTTAAAGCTGTTTTTTATTATAAAAATTAAAATTTTGTAATAAAAAGCTGCGTCATAAAGCAGGAAGAAAGCCATCCCAAACAAAACCTTAATCATGCTAGAATTTTAAGTTAAAACAGACAATTTTCCTTTAGTCCAATTGTTTTATAAATTGGCTTTCTATTATTATTAATCAGATTAGCTGCTTTCATAGAAATAAAGTTCAATGAACCACAAATTAAGGCTTCGTTTGGGATGACTTTCTTACTGCTTCTTAAAGCAGTTTTTTAAGTATAAAAATTTTAATTTTGGTACCATAAAGTTATTTTAAGAAGCAGTAGGAAAACCGTCCCAAACGAAGGCTAAATCGATTTGAAGTAGATGTGAGTTTAGATATTCTAAGGTGAATAAAACAATGTTTTTCAATTGGCTCTATATTAATAATGATGCATGAGCTGGCTTGATAAATCAGTTGGCTCGAGCTCGACTTAAGAAATGACTTGTGAATCAAATTTGAGCTAGATTTTTAATTCAGCTTGTGAGTTCTGGTTTAAAAAATATAAGTTAAAATGTATAAAAGTTTAATAAGTTTAGAATAAAGTTATTAAAAATGTTTACAAGTTATAGTGATTTTGTTTATTTTGCTTGCTTTTTTAATATTTCTTATTTAGATTTTTATTCTTTTTTATCATATTATTATAATAATTGATTGAATAATAATATTTTTTTTACTCTTTTCACTATTCGCAAGCAAACTCAAATGGGTAGAATTAAGTTCAAGCTCGAGTTCAAATTTAATTAAGCAAGGTCATGCTCATGTCAAAGATAAATCAACCAAGTTTAACTCGATTCATTTACACTATTAGACATGATGAATTCAAATGTACAAAAAAATTAAAATAAAAAATAAAAAATGCATTCAAATGTACAACTCAAAATATCTAAATGATTAAAAGAAAATTATAGTAACTCTTTTTCTTTTTTTTTAGTAACTCTAAATTAACTAATTTGATGAAAGGTTATTTTATTACCTATAATTTTTTTATTTTTTTTTGTATTTAAACTTCGTTTTAGAAAGCAGTAAAAAAGCCGTCTCAAATGAAGCCTTTATCTATGTGCAAGCAACATATGATCAACATGTGAAATATAAACGTTCTAGCCACTACAATTTGACAAAAAAACAAAAAAACTTCTCAGTAAAATAGCCAAAAGAGCATTCAGCATACAACAAGTTGAACACGGCATCTTGAAGCTTTGGAAGGGAATTAAAAATTAAATATAGAAGCAAGGAAAGAAAATTTACCTGAGCAAGTGAATAATGGTGTTTGAGGGTTAAGGTCCCACAATCTTACAGTAGCATCACCAGATCCACTAGCAAGGTTTCTGCTTGTTTTCTCCCTTCTACGCAAAAAAATATTCTAACGGATAATGCAACCATTCACATTTTGAGTAAATCTAAACAATGCACATAGAAACTCGATAAGGCAACCATTGAACCATTTGCAACAATTCAATCTCACAAAAGCCAATAATGCATATTCATCGCGAATGGATTCACGTCCTAGCGACCCCCAATGCGATAGAGAGAAGAAAACGAGGGCGAGGGCCGCGAGCAAGCATGCGATTTTACTTCTTGAAATAAATAAGATACCGGAAGCGGAGAAGAAGACGCCGGAGGCGGAGAAGATGACACCAAGGCGGAGCGAGGGCCGCGATATGAATACATCGAATAGGGTTTTTTTTCGTGACGTGACTTTGTATACCTCCATCGCTCTGCGATTCGCTCATATGGCATCTCAGCCATCCGTTTTCGTTTTAAGAGAACCGTCCGGTTAAAGGAAACCGGAACCGGTTCGATGGTCGGACCGCCGATTCAAGTGGTTCGGAGCTGGTTTTTTGCGAAAACGGTTATATCCATAACTGTAACCGGCTGGCCGACCGATTCCCGGTTCAACCGATTGAACCGGCCGGTCCGATCCAGTTTTAAAAGCCTTGTTAAAAATAGTTCATCTTGCGACGCCAACTCCCTCTGTTCACGACCTACCCTAGCCGACTCTTGCCTGATCTCCTCTGTTCGTAGACGGTGGAAGCGCAGAGTTCGTTGCCTACACCGTTTTTGTCAAAGACGTATCATCTCGTTCACATAAATGGAGATCCCCCAATGCTTCGCCCGCTCCGCTAGGGCTTCGTTCGAGCTGCTCCTCCGACGCGTTTTTGGGATTTCCGGCGCTTAGTCTCGTGTCGTTTCTTGCTGGAGGTTTTAAGGAAGTTTCCTTTCCTTCTCCTTTTGTTGGTTGTTTTCTTTTCCTTTCTTTTCGGTTTGGCTGCCTTGTCTCTTCCACCTCCGATCGTTTGTTGTCGGAATGGCAGTTAAACGTGTTAGTGATCCATATTTTTTAATTGATATTTTAAACCGTGGTCATTTGTTGATGCCCTTTATGGTTTCCCATCTTCTAGTTGTTATCCTAAGCTCCAGCAATGTTCTTTCCCTGGTTTGCCCTCTTTGTGGATATCGAAAGAAGAAATTTTGGCTCTTTTAGTTCCTTTTTAATTTGTTATGGTTTGCTTTTTTTCTACGTGTCGCCCTTCTATGGATGTAATTCGCAAATTGTTTTTTAATTTGAAGCTGAATGTTGATTTCTCTGTGACTGTTCTTGATCAGTCGCACGTTCTAATTAAGCTTTCTAATGATCTTGATTATATTATATTTTTTTACCATATATCTTATTTGGTGAATAATTGCTACATGAAACTCACAAAATGATCCCCGTATCTGGATGTCAGTGTTGAATCTCTGGTGATTCATATCTGGGTTTCCTTTCCTAATATGAGGCTTCATTTATTCTCTCCTCGAATCCTCAACGCTCTGGGTTCTATGTTTGGTCGACCCTTGAAAGTCGACAGTGCCACTTCAGTTGGTTCTAGGCCATCTCTTGCGCGGATCTTAGTTGAACTGGACATTACAAAAAATTTTCTAAAAAAATATGGCTTGGGCCTGAGATTTCTGGGTATGTTCAAAGTGTTCAGATGAAGGATTTTCCTTCTTTCTACGAGTCATGCAAATGTGTTGGCATCTTAGGAGTGAGTGTAGTATCCTTTCCTCTACCCCGTTGTCTGTTCCGCAATCTCACGTGAATCCTATTTTACCTATTAGGAATGCTAAAAATAATGCAATTGTTGTTCCTTCATTGGTTGAGATTGATTTGGTGATCCCTGTTGCTGGTGCTCCTCCTATTGAGCACTGTGGGGTTGTTGTGTGTTGTGATGATGGTAATGTTGGTGATAATATCTTGGTGGCTTTTTCCCCTAGAGGTTATATTGAGACTGTTTGTCCTGACATTGTTGGTCTTGAAGTTGGTAATGAGTTGTTGAATGTGGGAGATCAAGAACTTTGTGGTATTAATATGGGGGTGGTGAACATTGATTCTAGTGAGTTAGTTCTTGCTACTGCTTCTCCAGTGACGCTTGATGATTTGGTTGTGTCAGTTTCTTCTATGGGACTGGGTGTGAATAAACAACTTGTTTATATTTTTGTTGCTTTCTTTCTTCTAATGCCTTGAATGCTCTTGTGGGCGTGAGATCGGGGAAAACTATTATGGAGCAAATTGATTGGCTTGAAGGCTCTCCTTCTTATATTTCTGAGGTTGGTGAGAAGGAAGTGTTTGAACATGATGACTTTACTTGATCCGAATGAAAATCATGTTATGCGTGAAACTTTCATTCAAATGGGTAAACAGAGTAAGAGGATATCTAAAAAAAATAACTTTTTGTGGTTGGCTTGGTGGTTGTTGCTTTGGACTCCTGTGGTTGCTATGGTGGTACCAGTTTTTGGATTGCTGGGCTACGACTTTGAATGGCGTTGTAGCTTTGGGTGTAGATGGTATATCGCTGGACTTTGGTGACTTCCTCTTGACTCCTATGCTATTTGATGTGTTTGGCTTGTCTTCCTTTTGTTTTTGTCTTGGATTATATATTTAGGTTGATGCATAGGCTCTAAGGTTTTATTTCAATTTTGCTTCGGAGCCATTAAGGACTTGTAATTTTTCTCTTTTTTAACAAGTAGGCCTCTTCTGTGGGATAAAAAAAAAGATTGTATTTTCTTTTTTAAGATTATACTAGCTTTATGATAAATGATAAAACCCAAAATGGAAATGAAATATTCAGTTATTATTATGTGCTAGAAAATTTATGATGATAAATATATTAGCGTTATATAAAAATAAAGCTAGCATAGATAGGAGTTGTGATAAACTTAAAAAAGGGAAAAAATCATGTAGGTCGGCTAGAATAATCTACTATATAATTACATATACAAAAAAATAGTTCTCCAAAATTGAAAATTCATGATTACACAGTTGAAGATAACTATCTAGTTTAGGTTATAGGGATTATAGATATTGAGTATTTGCAAGTAGACAATTAAAATCCAATATGAGGATAGATGTTAGCACTTAGACAATAATAGTTATATAACAAAAATTGGATGATAGTGATGATAACTACTAATTTTGGTCTGAAAATGAAAACTTTTCTTCAGCTCTCTTAGCTCGTGAACCTCTTTAGAGTAAAAAATGAGGTCATATTTATAGCTTTTAATATGAGCATTTTAATAATTTTGACTAGACTATAGAACACTCTATTGAATGATCCATATTAAACTCCTTGCTCATAAATCAATTTTTCAATATTTGAGTTCTTTAATGTTATCATAATTGAGTGATCTTGAACTCATTGGATTTGTCTTATCAAGCCATTAAATTTGACTGTAAGCACATAAGATATGGAGATCATTTGGTCCTTAAATTAATGTCTAGAAGTTTCAAACTATGCCTTAAGTGGTTGATTTGAGCTCATTTGAAGTCGAATCAGATTGCTTGTGGTGTTGATGAATTCATCTCATCAAGATGCTTAGTACAACGATAAGCTTATTAAAATCAGAGTTCAAATGATTTTGAGTTTAATTTTGAAAATTCTCAATTCAAATGTAACCTCGAGATTCATATTGATAAAGTGAATATTTGGAGTCATCTTATTTGTCCTCCTATTTTCAGAAGTTTAGATTTGTGTCATCCAATATGTTAAGCTACAAAAAAGTTCACGGGGCTAAATTACAATTTTGAAAATATAATGAGGCGCAACTGCTCCTTGTACCTCAACATGGACCTCTTGTAAAGATCATAAACTAAAAATCTCTTTATCATAAACTACAAAAAAGTTTTCATTTTTTTTATGGTGCTTTATTCTTCCTTTAAAGGGGATTTGGTTTTTTGTTAGAAGAATTGTGATCTAAAATAAGTTTTTTCACCCTATTTTGATGCTTTTAGTTTCTCTCTAATGGAGAGATAATTATTATCAAAATTTGTTGCAATACTTATGTTATAAAGATGATGTTGAAGAAAGTACTCCAATTTATCAAGGAGTTTGGCTTTTATATTGTTATCTATATTTGATTTTAATATTTGTTATAC